GTTTTTTAATATAACAAAATTTATATATATATATATATAATTTACCGATCGAATTGTTAGATTATTTATTATTTATAATATCTACATATATTTAACAATACACACACACACATAATCTTGAATGTTTTATTCTCGATCGCCTTATTAGTACTTTGCTCGGATACTTCATCAGTGGATCAATTGAAAATTCAATTATATTCGATTAAAACTTACTATAACACATTTAAAAACAAAGTGTATAGTTCTATAAGATGTAGTGTTATATTAATACTTAACTTTTAGCAACAATAACATATGTATACTTATATTAATATAGCATTAACATGTATACATATGTTGTTGTTGCTACAACTTAAGTATTAATATAGCACTACATCTTATAGAACCATATATATAAGATGTAGTGCTATATAATACTTAAGTTTTAGCAACAACAACATATGTATACTTATATTTATATAGCATATATTAATATAGCATTAATGTGTATATATATGTTGTTGTTGCTACAACTTAAGTATTAATACTTAAGTTTTAGCAACAACAACATATGAATATAGCATATATTAGGGATAATATTTAATTATTCCATTGGGATTGTCTCATATTACCAGTTGCACCCTTAAACTTTGCGGGGTGACTATGACCCCCTTGTCTTTGTTCAAAGTGCTATAAGTACCACCCTTTGAGCCCACGTGGCATCTGAATTGTTTTTCACGCAATCTTAGCGTGTGGAATTGGACAAAAACGCCCAAACTCTGTTTATTTTACCATTTTGACTTTTTTTAATTTTTTATTAATGTCCTTTTCCTTTTTCTTCTATTTCTTCACTTCACCTTTCTTCTTCGTTGACTTCAATTTTGGAATAAAATGAAAGTTAACCATTTTTTCTGATGACTATCTCGCTGGAGTTTTCTACATTCGCCTTTTTTGTTAAAAGATCCTCCCACTCCATCCTAAAAATCATATCTTTCTCTTCTTTTCTTTTTTTCGTATTTTTCTTTTCAAATTTCTCACAGGAAAATATGGTGATTCCGGCGACACTTAACTAATGGAAGATATATTTAATTTAAAAAGGAAGATGAAGAAAAGAGCGGAGAGGTGGGATGGAACGGAAAAAAGAACAAGCCGTAAGTAGATAAATTTGAAATTAAAAAAACCTAACAAAAGAATTAATCTATTGGGAGAATGGAGCTAGTGAGTTGCTGGGAGGAAGAAGGAGACTTGGGGGGGGGGGGGAGGGGGGGATAGTAGAAAGAAAAAGTAAAAATTAAAAAAGTGAAAGTAATAAAATAAATAA